AAGGACTGATCCCTGATGCAGCCCCATCTCAACTGGGAAATGTTCCGAGTCTCTTCCAACTGTTCTAACCCGAGTCTTGGCTCCACCGTACATGTCCTTTACACCATCAAAAGGTTTGAATTTGACAATGGAGTCTGGATAGAGTAAGATGTATGCAGACCTTACTCCTAACTATGTTGTTTCCGATAACAAAAATGCAAATTAATATGACAATTCAAAAGGTTCAAAATTATCAAATCTCAGATAGACTTTGCACCAGACTACCAGAATGAAAATAACATGTTCAACATCAACTCATTTTTCCTATATAGGCTCAAAGAATGAAACAATGTATATATATATATATATATATATATATATATATATATATATGCAACTAGTAACTGGTCAGTATATATAAATTAAGGCACAAAGGATGAGCAGAACACATAGTAACACCTATTATGTCTCCTAAATCCTGGGTGAGACTTCAATTAACTTGGGCTCGTGGGAACAAGTTATCCCAGGATTGTTATCCTATCCACAATATGGGATAAAAATAATAGTACAATCATCTCAGGATAGCTAATTCCAGAATAAGCTATTCCGCAGTTTTATCCCAACCAAACATGGGATAAATTCATCCTAAAATTAATCTTGGGATTAGTTATGCCTCATCCCTCCTACCAAACAAGCCGTTATACTTTTATACCATGAATAGCTGCCTGGAACTCAAAATTTAAGGAGGACAACAATGATCATGGCATAAATGACAATAACAATGATATTTAAAAAGGAAATAGTTTTCAAAAAGACCTTCAAATGTTATTTCATCATTTACACGAATTAGTTTGGTCTCATGATCGAAATACTTGTAATTCGTAGTTCATTTGCCACTGTAAGCAAAAATGATGCAAATTTCATCCATTCTGCAGGCTCCATCGATCAATTGAAATAGTAGACATTACACATACGTATAAAGAACATGAAATATTCAGCAACAATGGTTGTTTCAATTCTCAAGCGGAGACAAAAAAACACTAGGTCATTCTTCTCATATGTCCTAGCCTTGGTGGACAAAGTTATCTAGTACCTATTGCTGGTGAGAGGTAGTAAGTGTCTCGTGCAATTAATCTAGGTAGTAGGTGTCTCGTGCAATTAATCTGGTGGGACAAAGTTATCTAGTACCTATTAAAGCAACCTCAAAAATTGTTCCTTATAGATTATGTTGGTTAATTTGGGTAACAACAACATACTTACTCGTCCTAGAGATAGAAAGATTGTTTCTGAAAGACATCATTTAATACAAAAGTAAACAGGGCATGAAAAATAAGACATGGCAAATTATGAGAATCGTGTAACATTCCATACAAAGCAGAATAATGTGATAACTGAGGAGCAATAAACTATGAGAATAATACTAGTAACCTCTTATCCTATTATCCTATCTAAGCTCATGACCTCCTGGTAAACTGAAGTTATATTATGTGATGTCTAATCGTCTTTTTCCAATACAAAAATACGAAAGGAGGTGCGTAAATTCTCTAAAAATTAAGAAAATAATAATGCTTACCGGTAACGATGTAATTCAGAGGAAGAAGCAATTGAATGAATAAATGAAAGAGCTATTTAACACCAAAAAAAAAAAAAGGAAATTTTTGAAGAGAAACAGGAGGGAGAGAGGATTTTGATATTTTATTATAATTTATAAAGCCCTAGCCGCAAGTTTATTACAACAAATTTTTTAATTTATAAAAGGCAAATATTTAAACTATATTTATTATATTTGTATCAGAGAAGAGCGCGATTATAACTGATAATAGGATATACTCCCTCCGTTTAAAAAAGAATGATCTAATTTGATTTGGAACGAAGTTTAAGAAAAAAAAGAAAACTTTAAATCTTGTGGTTCTAAATTAAAGTTATGTCAAATGTACCAAAATGTCTTTTAATCTTGTGGTCTTAAACATACCATATGAAAAATCGAAGTTTAAGTGTAGCCAAAAAAGAAAAAAAAATGATCATTCTATTTTAAATTGGACCATTCCTTTTGAAACAGAGGGAGTAACTCTTTTATTGATATAATAAATACTTCTCCGTTTAGAAAAGAGTGTCTTATATCAATACTTTATCTACATAAACAATTTTTCATTGTCACAATCCAGACCATCGTGATTGACACTCATACTAACCCTCCGGTGGGAGAACCATTAATACTAACTAGTTAATACGAAACCAAACATTTAAAGATACGGAAGAATGTTTAAATGACTAAAGACTAAAGTTCTCATAAACTTCCAAAAGATCTAACAACGAATTGCGGAAAATACGCCTAGAACCTGAAAGGCAATGTACCAAAACTCTAACAATGAACCAAAAGTCTAAAGGAAAATGGGTACAACCCAACTAACATAAGAATATCTAATGAACTAACTAAGTCTGAATAAGATGGACTAAACCAAAAGAGAACTCATGGCAGATTGGAAGAATTGGCTCACCCTTGAATTCGAACGATCAATGATCTTCTAAGCGAGGTCTGTCAATAGCCGCCTGAAGATGCCTTTGTACTCAACAAAGAAAGAGCAAGTGCAGTATCAGTACACAACCACAGTGTATTGGTAGGATCACGCGGCTATCCCATTAAGTGCAATATATATAAGTCATACAACATAATAATAACATGCATACACCGAACATATACAATATCATCATCATTTACGAACAACGTACAATTTCACATTTCTCAAAATGCACAATTATGTCAACTCATTAGTTCTCTCATAGAACTCAAACCCAAACTGTTAGCATTCCGGAACGCAGTGGTGTAGCCACATGGTGGTCAGGGTGTTTAATTGGACACCCTTCGTCGGAAAATAATACCGTATATACAAGTAAAATGATACACGAAATGATTAAATAACATAATTTAGACACCCTTAACACAACAAGTTATTGTAGCCCAGTGCTTTCACCTCCTAGGAATGAGCTATTTCTGGACACTCTTTGTGAAATTCCTGGCTTCGCCACTGCCGGAACGTGGTACCCGATCCAATGTTTATGCCGGAACGTGGCAACCGATCCAAGTTAGTGTGTCGAAACGCAACACCCAATCCATTCAACAAGCCACAATCACCACCACAAGTATATTCTCATAATCATGCAATCAAGTCATGATTCATGGCATTAATCATTCGTATATCTTATTTACAAATAGTGTGATCAATAATACAACATTCGCATACATACACGTATTATAATGAAGCAAGAACAAACATATATCACACAATCATGAAATTACAACCATCACCTACCTCGAAACAAGCTTGAAATCCCCTTGGAAATTTGATCCTTCCCTTTCCGGATTTGCTCCGCTTGTTCTTGGTTTGCATACAATTAATTTAACACAGGAATCAGTAAACAATAACTAATTACCCGAATTACTAACAATTCTATCCACCCTAGATCATACGCATGATCCCCATACCCAGATTAGGGCTTTCTTCACCATAATATCCAGATCAAACCCTTCCCCATCGATAATTACCCATCAGATTACGTTTTACGGATCGAAAAATGGATTCGGGGAGTTAAAATCTTATCTTTAGCTTCAAGAATGGTGAAAAACTATCAAGAAAATCCCTGGGTTCGTTCCTTAGCTCTCAAGTTTGAAAATTGCAGAATAAAACGTTTTTGGTTTATTTCTGATTTTAAGTCGCGTCTGCCCTGCCATGGCGGCACCCATCCCGCTACAGCGGCCCCGCCTTGGCGGCAGAAATCCCGCCTCATCGGCTTGCACAGAAACAGTGAGCTATTTTAATAATTCCAAGGCCCCCATTTCACAACACACTTTCAACCCATGACACTCAGAAACTGGTGTTCACGCTAAGATCAATTTCGGGAGTTCTACTCGCCCGAATTCAATTCAGTAAAGTCGTACGGGTTCCTTAACGTCTTAGCTATCTACTCATGTGATCAAATTCATAATTAGATCACTCAATTGTTACCAGATTTCCCTAGACTTTAATGACTCTAATTTTGCCCAAATCTGGACTATGTTGGAAAATTCCAAGTTACTACGAAAAGTTTTCCAGCCCAAAAAATTTTCCCGTTAATTTTTCTATAACGACTGAACCCGATCGTTACATTCATAGTGTATATTTCATTTCTTGTTTTTTTTTTCCTGTCATGTTAAAAGGAAAAAAAAAAAAGACTTCTTAAAACTCCAGGAACTTGAAAATTGAAGAAATTTTTAAAAAAAATTCTAAAGACTTTCCCTTTTTTATTTTCAAACAAACATACTATAAAATCTCTTTTTTATTTTGCTGGTTTTGTTTTAGAATATAGATTCTGGTTATCTTTTAAAAATTATTTTGAGCATTTTATATGAGAATATTAGGAGTAATTAGTTTTTCCTTTGAAACTGAATGCAGAACATCTTTTTACAAAAAGTTGAGTTGTGTTGTTGTATAGCATTATTTTATTCTTATAGTTCATTTTCCGAATGCTATATGTATTTTTTCATATCGCATTATTTCTTTGTTGTTAAACGTACCATCTTTTTCCAACTTCTTCTAAATGCTTTACTTGAAACAATTTTTATATCTCTACAAGGTAAAGGGTCTGCGTACAATCATTTAGCTCAACAAAAGAAAAAAGTGTACACACGAAAGTAGTGTATAGGGGAATTCAACATCTACTATAAACTGTATTTTTCGTTTCATTGGGGGCAAACACCTTGTGCATTCGTGAAGTTTGGATTCAGTGTTAGTTACTCAAACAATGAACAACTTGTGTCGAAAAGTTAAGCAGTTAGAAGAGATTCCGTGGTTGTGAAAGCTGTCTTTTCTAGAATTCAGAACTTATAAACTCAAATTTGGATCCGTCTCTGATAACAAGTTGGAAATTTCAATATTTGAACACAACCTCTCTACCTTCACGAGGCAGTGGTAGAAGGGAATATATATTTATGAATATGAATAATAATAGCTAAACATTTTATTAATGTTGTGAAAAGAGAAAAAAACTCAATTCAGTTATGTTCCAAGCTGAACAGAAACAACCCAAAGTTGTTTTACAATGAGCTATGCTATAATCCAAGTAAAAGTTGTCAAATTCCCCGGGGCAACAGCAGTTGCTGAGTTATTTTAAGTAGAGTAACTCCATTAATGCCCCAAAACCATATCATAAATCAGACCAACCCGATTACAGATGTCACGTAAAGTTAGTAAAAACTATACATGTACGTCCCGTCCGTCCTCTTATTGGTTCTGCTCAAGAAGAAAATGAGCCGGCTCACATTTTGCTGCATGACCAAATTTAGATGTGTTGTACTTTCTATGTACCCCTGTTAGTTTCCCTGTTGCTGCATTTTTGTGGAACCCCACGATCAATCTCGAGCACTCCCTAAAAAAGCACGAAAAAAGAGGGTTAAGTTTGAGAAAGAATTTAGTTACAATCATCACAATGTGGAAATGTTCACTCACAGAAGTTGATCTTCTGAGTATTTTGTATGCAACTCACACGTCGTGCTCCATTGTTTAACACCGTAAAGTGTGCACTGAGCTGTAAAGATTGCAGCAGCAGCGATAAAGGATGGTGGGAATTTAAGCATTTCGTATTCCACAAGGCAAAGCTCGATCAAGAAGAATGAAAGTAGCTCAAGCTGTTATAAAAGGAGTACACAACAAAGTTAGGAGAATGTAACAATCAAGAACATCAAAAATTTCAAGACTCTGTTAGTCACTAACCTTTTGATCCGATTGAGCAGCCTTGAGAAATCTCCTCATAAAAACATATGGTGTTGGAACAGACATATTAAACTGGAGTGTGTTGAGCATCAATTTTTCCTGCGGGGAATATGACATGATATCTTTTAGTAATAGTTGAGAAAATGCAGTAACAAGAGTTGACATTCGACAGAAATATCGTTGTTAGCTACCAGTTCAAGAACCTCCTTCCTTGCGTATGCTTTATCCGAAATGAACACCAAATCATCCACCACAGGGAGAGTAACCTCCTCATACTTACACGCGAGTAGCGTGGCAACCAGTCCAACAAGCTGTAGCTTCTTTCTCACAACAGATTGCTTCTCCAAAAATCTATCTATCAAGTTAACAGTTAGGAATAATGTCTCTTCCCTTAGATCAAACTTGTGATGTACCTATTCATTTACGAATAGCAATCAATATGACAATCAAGTAACCAAATATTTCGCAGTCTCCTTTTACACTTCAATTGGGAGTAAAAGTTTTAAGTACCTCAATGAGCCAGTCTATTAGTATAGATCTCATCCTCTCGTTTACGTCAAACTGTTGTGCCATATAATCTGGCGATATACGGCTGCTGACCTGAATATAGTGATCATTATTTAGTCAAATGTGAATAAGAATGACATTCTTTTTCATCAGGAACCAAATTTAAACTCATCAAATCTAAACACTAAACTACTTTGATCAAACATGTGCATCAGAAACCACATTCTTTTTCATCAGGAACCAAATTCTTTATACTTAAAAATATGACAGAATTATTTAAACTCATCAAATCAAAACAATAAAAATACTTAGATCAAACATGTTGTTTAGATTTGACCAAAAACTACTAATTTCCAGTGATCTGATCAAACCTTGACCTCTTCATAAGTCTTTAAATAATTGTATAAACCTTTGACATTTCCAAAGGCCATTGAGACTAACATGTACTATTTATCACCTGAATTTCCTGCCGTGCGAACATTCAACAACTACCATGTGAAACACAGCTCTAATCACTTCAGATAAATTCAAACATCATTTCAAGTAAGGCGTGGGATATCAATACTCATCTTAGAACCTGGACCTAAAGCAATTGTCTAGTCACATTTAATGCTCCATTAGAAGCTTCCCTTATGACAATGGTATCAAATTCACATTGGTCTTTGTAAAAGTCTCTTTAAGGTACTAAAATTGTTAGACAGCTGGACTTACTTCCATTTTTGAGTAGTAAGCATACAGATCTTCCACATAGTCAACAGCTGCAAGCGGGTTCTTTGCATCATCACTGTCAATATCTATCGCGGTCTCCTCGAATATATCCTCCATCTCAATCTCCTGAGAAAAATTTATGAACATTAGCTATCTAAAATTCCCAAGATACTTGCCAAAAGGATTAAAATTCAACTCCTTGATAAACACTCAAAATTTCTCTTACCATTTGAGTCTTGTTGTCATGTGACACTGTCTCAGTTTGTTCCAAAGACATAGGAACAGGCTGGTCTTTTGCTGCTTCATATTCATCAACATCTATTATAGGTACATCCTCCCATACACTAAAATTTTCAGCTGCTAATTTTGGTTTCTTGGTTTCCTGTTAGACACCATTGTACTACCGGTTAACAAGGGGCGGAGGTAGAGAAATTCATTAAATATGTACACACATCATACATAAATTGAAATCCTAGCTACACCTACACGACTTATAACACTATATAAACTACAATGAAACCTCAGTAATTCAAGAATCCATTTTCATTAGTCCATGAAATACATAAAAAGAGCCGCATACACTCTACCCTCACCAGACCCCATTTGTGGGACACTAGGCTTATGAATAGTACCTCAAGATAATGCTGCTGGGAGCTAGCAATTTGTGCAGCAAATTTCCTTCATTTTGAAAAATTTACATGTCAGATTCCAAGAATATGGTCCTCAAATAAATGGAATGAAAATACTGAATTGACTATATATTATCTAACCTTGTAATTGGTCTATGAGCTGGAATAGGAGGATTCTTGTTACAGATCCCATTAGTTCTGTTAGATCAAGAAAATCACCCAAATCAGCTCAAGATTAACAAAAATGATAAGATACGAAAAAATCTCAAAGATTGAAGCTGGGATTTACTCAGATATTCCTCTCTTGTTAACAACACAAGGATATTGATTAACTCCAACAAAATTCTGATTAATCACACCCAATGCTCTTCGATTGTTCCTCGTCTCCACTCCAAACTTTCTGCTTCCCATTTCTGAAAAAAGAATCATTTTTTTCAAAAACCCCATCTTCCAAAAACTAACAAACAACACTCTTACCTCATTTTCAGCTCATAAAACCCAAAATTGGTGAAATTTTCAAAAAAAAAAATGAATCTTTAAGCTACAGTGGATTTAGTCATAATAGGATTGTTCTCATTAGAAACACCCTTTTTTTCTTTTTAACTTTTTCTTGATTATTTCTTCAAGAATCAATCACCCCACCAAAGATCAGAATCAAAAAAAAAAAAAAAAAAAAAAAACAATCTTGGGATTTCTTTGTACCCAGAAAACTGATTTCCAAAAACTAATTAACACAAATCTTAGCTGATTTTAATCTCTTAAAACCCATACAATGGGGGAAAAAATTAAACAAAGATTGAATCTTTAAGCTACATTTACCTTGACCATTTGTGGGTTTAGTCATAATAGGATTGTTCTCATTAGAAACACCCATTGTCTCTTTGATTATTTCTTCAAGAATCAATCACCCCACCAAAAATCAAGAATCAAAAAACCCAATCTTGGGATTTCTTTTGTGTAAAAAAAGTCCCGAGGAAACTGTAGAGATGGGGACTGAGAGAAAAAGACAATGAGGGGTATTTGTCAGTAGAAATGCAGAGGGGGGGTTTTATTTTCAAATGAAACGGCTAGTTGGATCAGAGCGTCTTAAAAAAAAGGCATAACGGTCACCTTGGTTGGCATGTGGAGGAGACATTGTTGCTTTCAAAATTAGGAAACCTTTTTTTATCAACTTTAATTGAATGAATAGGTGAATGATTGGAGTTTCGACTTTATTTGTATTGGGTGTTTATATTAAATTAATTTAATTTAGGATATGTTATAGTTTTGGCTTACTGAGGACATGATTTTGATTCGATTTGTGTTAATATTTGTTGATTTCTTGTACCTTGATTATTGTATTTATTTTGTTGTAGTTTATGTTATGTTACTATGTATTGTTTTTTGTTACAAGTTGTTATTTTTTGTACCCTTGTTATTTTTTTTAAGCTGGATTGGTTGAGTCAAGGATCTATCAGAAGTAGATTCTCCACCTTTGAGGTAGGAATAAGGTGTGTGTATGCTATATCATCTCCGGATATCACTTTATTTGATTACACTGAATATGTTATTGTTTCATAGCTTCATTTTCTTCGCGTCGAGGATCAAGTCCTACTGAATATGTTATTGTTTCTTAGCTTCATTTTCTTCGCGTCGAGGATGAAGTCCTGCGGTAGATAACAACATGCACAAGTAAATTGATTGAAGGGGACCTACCTTTCTACTCCTCACAATTGGTTGAGTGATTTAATAGAGTAAAAGTACATATTAATTAATCATAATTAATTGTATTCTTTTATTTCTTGTTCTTGGTTCGAACGATCAAAATGTGTAAATTTATTAGACTGTTTTGGGCTATTTTTTATAGTCGAGGATCTATTGTAAACAGTCTCTACCTTTGAGGTGGGAATATGATTCGTCTATTGATTTTTGTACCATTACTAAATATGTTATTTAAAGTGAAAGTATTCTTTCATTTCTTGTTCTTCGCTTAAACATTATAAGTATACATATTAATTTAATAAAGTAAAAAAATAATCATTAAATTATCATAATTAAGTGATAAAAAAAATGTATATGCGAACACATATCATTTATTTAATATAAACATTCGTATAAGTAAAGTTTTTACCAAATGATATAACAAATAATTTTCTTTTTAAAAATAAAGATATCAAACTCATCACCAATTAAATTGAGTTTAAATGAATTAAAATAGGATGAGTTTGTTATTTGTATTTAAGTTCCAACTACTATTAATAAATCTTTTTTCTTCAAATATACGTTACTTTCATATTAGGAATATAGAGTTGAATATTTTTTAGATAGATGATTGGCACTTTTATTTTAAGGAGACCCATCATAAAAGTAGAGGTCATAGTCAATATTTTCATCGAAATTTGAGCTCATACATATTTTTTGACATTTTTTTAATAGTTATATAAAAAAATTGATGTTATTAAAATTATTACAATATTTAAGGTAGTCTAATTTTACACTAATACTATAAAAAATGGATATTATCGAGTTATATTCATCGCGTCAAATCTGATATGATAATTCAAAAAATAAATAATATTAATTTAAAAAAATAGACAAATATCGACTACCTTTTTGCAATTGGAAGTGATTTTGAATTTAAATTACTCCCTATTATATACATTCCTACATCTTTTTTATTTAAAAAATGATATAATTAATGATTGTAGCAGGCTATGAGGCATGTTTTGGTCATTTTTTTATTTTTTAATAATAGGTCTCCTTTGCTGGCACTTGTCAGACATTAAAGTGTTTTTTTTTATGTAAAAGATTATTCTAGAGAGAATTTGGATCCATGGTTTGAATAACACAACCTCTAGGGAATTCAAATATTATGAAAGAAAAAAGTAATTGTGATGTGTGAGGTAGACGCACAAGGTTTATAGATTCGAAGCTATTGCAGACAAAACTTGATACTTTTTCTGTCTCAATTATGTTTGACACTAACTTGTGATTCAAAATAAATCACAAATGTTTATACAGTTATACACCATTTTACTAAGATTAAAATAAGCATGTTAAAGTTAAATTGTTACTCCTGATATCTCAATTTATGTTGCACTTTTCATTTTTCGAGAGTCAAACAATTTAAATTTGACCAAAAATTTGTGTATGAGATCTTCAATTTTTTTTATATATTTGTATACAACGTAAAAAGTATTATAAGTCACAATAATTGATAATTCAAAATGATTAAAAGATCAATGAAAAATTTACGGTCAAAGATAGACTTGTTTGAATCTCGAAAATCCAAAAAGTGCAACATAGAATGAGACGGAGGGAGTACTAAATATATAAATGTGTAATTCTTTTTAAACTAATTAAAAAAGAAAATAAGTCATAAATTGGGACAAGGAGAGTATTTAAGTTGGGACTTGGGAGGAGACCGGAGGGGCGAGCCTATACTCCCAAGGTTTTCGAACTTATGCACCAACGTAAGTCGGGCCAAAATCTCAAAATTTCTTCAATAACTACCCCTCAATCCTAAATAAGTTGAAATGTCCAAAACTTCTTTGACATCAAAAACAAAGAAATAATCAATTGTGGGATATTTCATATTAGGCTATTAGCTATGAATTAACATACAAAATACTGATCCCACTCCAAATATGAAGCGGAACTATTCTGAATGAATACAATTAAAGTTACTAACCATATGATAAACTAATCCAATGTCAAAAAAATGGCAAACACAACCAATTAACTCTGTCTCTATTGCCATGTACCTGGATTTAGGTACTTATATAAAATGGACTAATACAGATTCAGATTTTACTCTTTGCTACTTGTAAGAACATCTAATTTACAACAAACAAAAGGCAATTCACCTAAAAAGAGTTGAAAGTGTCTGTTTGCTAACCGTTCGTTTGCCCTTCCCAGCTGAAGCAAATTTCTTCCCCCGAGAATTATGATTTTCACCATCTAACTTCTTGTTTACTTCATCAATACTATGTTCTTGTTGCAAGGAATCATACTTATCTGTGAATTTGTGATCCTTAGTAGCCACATTATTCATCAAAAGATTCAAAGGGTTAATGACAGCATTCTTTTTCTCCTTTCCTGTTGCATCGCGACAGTGTTGTTGATATTTCACCTCTTCCAGCAGCATCCTTATTTCATCCTTCGGCAACTGAGCATCCTCACCCTTAAATTTCTTCATAGTGACAGTATCCCTCACTCTATCCAGTTCCTGACTGAGACAATCTGTATCATCAATCAAATCTTGCTTCTTGACAGCCAACTCCTCGTAGTGCTCAGCAGCAACAACCTTCTGCTTCTTGGTTACTGCCTCCACCAAATCACTACATCCCTCGTGATTTAACCTTTTCTTCTCAAAAATATCTTGTTGGAGTTGATAATTTTCATTAAGCAAGTCATCATCTGACACAAACTTCGGCTTCATTAGCTTCAAATTTTCAAGGAAATTCTCGTGGGAAGCATCTTCCTTCTGTTGACCATCAACTCCAAGCAGGATATGTTTTCCCTCTTTGATCACTTTAACACCCTGGGTGACTCTAGGAATTATGGTATCAAGGATAACTTTGCCAAGAAGAAACCTTGTCTCACACATATTTCCTTTCCCAAGAGAAACGTAATCTATCCTGTAAACGTCCTTCCTAGTTTTGAGAGATGTAACATCTTTCACTAGAATGTCAAACATTAGCTCGACAGCCCTGCCCATTTTGTTTGATACAAAGACCTGCAAATCAGACATCTCCATAACAGTCAAGAAAAACTTGTTAAAATAATAATAAGAGCAATTACCATTCTGATAGCCTATTAAACACTTCTCAAGTAGGAGGGCACGAGAATTAAAGGCTACTAGATCTGCTTCTCCGTTTCTCCCCATTTTATTTTACAACAACATACCCAGTGTAATCCCACAAGTGAGGTCTGGGGAGGGCAGTGTGTACGCAAACCTTACCCCTACAAGGTGGAGAGGTTGCTTCCGATAGACCCTCGGCTCAAGTGAAAGCATTACAAAGCAGTTCAAAAAAAGAAAACAATGGAAGTGAAGAAGTCGAGACAAAATGCTGAATAAAGCATGACAAGCCTACTAAAAATGAAACAGTCACTACCACAAAATAACACGATAATTGAATGGAAAAGAAACAGTAAATAGTAACAGAAATGGAACCACAAGAAACTCCTAGAGTAATACTACGACTATTGGTATGAATGACGAAGTGAGACAACTCTCAACTACCTAACTGACCTTCTACCCTAATCCGTGTCCGCCATTTATCTTCAAATCAAGAAATAAAATCATGACTATATGCACAACTAGTATTTACTTTGTGGATAAGCTGAGCTGCTTTCTCAATGAATCTATTAGGGCTGTTTATGATGGAGAGGAAGAGAGGGAGGGAGTTGCATTTATTCCAAGTCCTAAATTTCCAAAAAAAGTTAGATGAAAGATACTATGTTGTTTACAAAATAAATAAAAACCTTTACATTAGGTTCAGAGATACTGGTCCATTTTGTTGCAGGAAACCTGAATCACTAACTTCATAAGTCACAAAATTTACATAGAAACAGGGTTTAACAAGCTCCTTGCGAGTATAATGAGCTAGCTTCTACGTTAGGAAATTGCCGATGCATGCCTTTTAATAGTATCTAAGAATGTATTTAATCCCTTTCCGTCCATGGAATGCACTGCAAAAAGGTTTAGAAAGATCTATCTCTTGTTGTATGAAGGAATTAAGTAACTCATAGCAAGTATTACTAAATGTTTGACCTTTCCATAATCACAGATTAAGAAACAGACTTGACGAAAAAATAATAAGTCAACCATATTCAAGCCATAAAAAGTTAATTACTTGTTTATCAATAGAAAATTCCACATAGAATTATCGATCACACATTTTCCCCATATTATTATTGGAAAATGATTAATGCAGCTTCTGCTTTCAGATAGGAATAGAAATTAGTCTATTTAACAATTGGGTAAACAGCATGAACTAAATTTGGATCTTCCACAAAAGTCGATCATTACTCTGAAGAACCATATGGGTGAAAAATAAACTGTACAGTGTACCCAAACAAAGTGAAAAAACAAGACAGACAAACTGTATTGGTGTAAACAACAGTTACATTTAAAAGTCAAAGTATGTTTACCCACCAAACCAGAGCATGGGGCTCCTGGGAACTTGGACATTGCTTCCAGGAGGCTGTCCCTGTCGGTTAAAATGTTTATAGATTTTTGGACTTGCACTGCCAGCTGTGCAACTTTTTTTGCAAGTTCATCATCTGAAATGGAGCCTTGAGAATCAGAGAATTCTGGTCCATAAACAGCTGCATCTTCAGAATGCTTTTCTGCAAATTTAACAGCTTCCTTCCAATTTGCGTGATACAATACAGAAGCAAAAGTCAGGATGACAAACACATGTTGGGGATGTGTGATCAATGCCATATGAAACACCAAGAGTGCAACCCTGTCATACACATCATTGAAAAGGAAAATTTTGTCAATTATCCCAAATCCCAGCCGTAACAAGGAGTTCTCTCAATATTAGTGCAGGTCAATTCATCTAAAGTCTACTGTTGAATTCGTGATAGCAAAGTGGTCTAAGTCAGTAGAATCCACTATTGTGACAGTAGGAAGGTAGACTATGAGCTGCAACATCTGCCGTGAAGTAGAGTTAGAGACATGACTCCAAAGGTTTCATATGCTGAATGCAATGGATCAGCACAATTGAACTATGGAATACACCAGAGTAAATGTGCTATACAATGAAAGCACCACATAAAAAAAAACAAATCTTTAAATGTCTAAATTGGCCCTAATTTGCAATTTAAAAAACAAAAAATGAAGGAAGCTACGTAGAAGTATTATCTGAGATGCACTAAAAAATTCTAGTAGTGATGATGCTGACTTGGGCTTTTGAAGTCAGGAAGGCAATAAATGCTTCAACTAGCAGTGTCCAGAAATTAAAATGTAAAACGATAGACACAAGAAGATGCTTGTTTACTATTCTTACTGTTGCACGTTGTCCTGACTATGAAAATTCTGTAGTAGATGAAGGCTCGATGGCTTTACTTCAACACTTAACACTGAAATTATATGCCTATTCCTTCGTAAAGGGAGGAGAAGTGCAAGCTCCCAAACCCATAGGAACTATATTTAACATTGCCTTATCATATAAATAACAAATGCATTCATTCGCTAGCCATGTGAAAGCTTAAACAAGACATCTTAAACCAAAAACAACTCACACCACAAAGTAAGAGAGAAGGGTATTAGAAGGTGTCCACAGGATAACAATATATCATTGATTAGGAATGAACACTTGTTTAGTTCAAAGCATAAAAAGATTAGGAATGACCACTTGTTTGGTTCAAAGCATAAAGATAACCAAAAGAGATGACTGCAAGGTCCACCCTTAGCTTAACAACAGCAGGATTTCAGCTAGTCAATCTCAGAAATTCTTCCTATCCAAGTCAGCACTTGACACCAAGCAAAGCATAATAGCTCTGTTATACAGTTGCAAGGTACTATGATAGAAGAGATGATAAGAAATAATGGATCTTCCAATTAGACAAGTCCAGAACCACAGAGAAACTTATATATCAAATTACAGCTCTAAAAGCAGCAGTAGATACAATAATATCCAAAAATGAAGACTATCCCTATTAGGGAGAAAGTGTCAGCAAAGAAGAGACAGGGGTATGGAAAGCAAAAGCCTCATGGAGATCAAGAATCCAATAATCAACATATCTGCACCAGAGCTCAGAATAAAAGCAAAAGGAACTCGACTCATATGATAAAGCTACGGCAATGTCATGTCACAGGCACAATATTATATGTCACTACCTACTTGGAAGGGTGAGAAAACAATCAAATGCCAAAATGAGACAAAAAACCTCAATAAAAATTCATGTCATTAGACCAAATGCTTTATTTGAAAAAAATATAATATCAACTCACCACACACTATCATGCGAAGGTTGACCACAGGTGACCAATTGATCCAAGCTGGAAAATAATTTCTGAAGAAAGCCATGACTGATAAATTATATGCTTAAAACACAAGTGAAAGAACCAACAAAATATTACTTTAGAAAATGAATATGCCCACATGCGCATGCAACATACACAGGAAAAGCTAATTAAGGACTTATAAATTTTTTCAGAGTTATAAAATGAGTCGAAGCAATAAAGAGCATACCATCAGCATCACAGAACTTTTACCCAATTGTTTACTAGCCTGTTGAGTAAGGTATGTCCCCTGAAAATGATATACATGCACATCAAGCTATTTCCACAATTCTTAAAAGGTGTACCATTTTGTCAGCAGCCAAAATTAGATGCAGGTCATGCAGCAATATGGACATACATGAAATGGCAACACAATCTCAAGGATATTGTATCTCTGAAGTAAAGAAAGAGAAGGCTCTGCAGCCCCATATGACATCATATAGTTCAGTTCCATCATTATTCTAGGCTGCAAGCACAATAAACAGAGAAATATCAGTGAAAATGGAGCATATGATGTAGAGAACTCCCTTAGGAGAACAGGAACGTTTAGGGCTTCAGGGATGTTCAACAATGAGAAGAAGGGACAAATAACAAAGAGAAAGGCAAACATTGGGGGAAAAGATGAAGTGAATGATTAAGCCAGATAAATAACTTAACCAGAAATCATTGTTTATACATTGGACAAGCTCATGATGGCTGACGAGAGTTCATGCATAGCATCTTCTATCTCCTTTGTAAAGGATAAGTTAAGACGGGCAGCCAATCTCAAGCCACGCAAGATTCTTGCTGAGAAAAAAGAATCCAAGATTAGTTCCATCATATTAACAATTGGGGTTAAATTCATGTTGCCCCCATCTATCCTTGAATTCAACATTGCCATCCCCTTTCTACTTTTACTTACTCTTAAAGCGTTCTAACTCTACGTTGTGCCAAATTGATTGGCAGCAAAACGCCGAAAATCCTTTTGTTCTTTGCTAACAAAGAGAATTTCCCTAAATCTTAAAACCTCATGTTACCCCATGTTTACACCTTGTGTGTTAGGGTTTACCCTGAATTTCCACCATATTTGATTTTCTACCATAACTAGAATTACCTTTCTTGGTGGAAAAAGTTTCCTTGTTGGAAAAGATCTGTCCCATATTTAGGTTATTCCTTTCTTGGAGGAAAAGTTTAGACCTCTATAAATCAACCACCAAATGATCTTCCGTAGTACTCTATCATATGCTTTCTCTAAGTCAATAGATAATACCACGCAGATTTTTCTTCCTTTCGCGCTAGCCATCAATCTAATAGCCTACATTCTAGATCTACATGGCATATTCCAAATTGAATTTCTTTCATTCTTGCTGTGTTCTTAAGTTTATGCTCTAGCCCTCTTTCCCAGAGTTCCACAATGTTTTCATAAATTTTCTAATCCTAATATAGTAGTGTTGCAAACAATAATAGACATAACAGTCTCATGGAAACTTAAAACTATGCCAAAGGAGGGCAACAACTTTTTGGAGGAGGGGAAGCTACAAGAGAAGTGAACAGCTAAGGGATTAAGAGTATTGCTGAAATAAGAACATTTCCCCATGAGAATCTGACGGTCCATCATGAAATTGTTTGAAGTAGTTAAAAAATTAAAGATCTATAATGTTAAGCATACTAAATAACTGTTTAGTGTTGCAATAAGCAAAATGAGTGATGGATGAAAGGGGTCCAATGAATTTAATCCAATAAAATAGTAATGCTTCCAACCCAAATTAAGTTTTAACTTTGTGTAGTCATTAAGGAAAAAGGTTGAACATGTGTATGTTTTGATTTGTAATGAATAGTAAAATAAGCAAATACAAAAATAAAGTATATATTCCTTTCGGAATGGAAGAAGTATGATACTAAGTCTCAATTCATGACAAACTTTTGAATAATTGCACCTACCACAATCTTCTTCAAATGACAAGTGAGCAGGCACCAAAGTCCGTAGCTGAATTCATATCAAAATAAACCTTTTCAAATTCCAACACATCAAAGTAATTGGTTTCCATTACATACTTGAAGATAATTTTAATAAAGTACATATGTGAAGATAATAATCTCACCTTTAACGATCTTAGGTCCTGCATTGCATTGGCATAATCATAGATTCTATTCACGAACGGGTTGAAAAATAAGCTGTTTCCATGATTTTAGAAACATAATAATGAGTTAGATAGCACCCAAAAACTCAAAAATTTAAGTATCTATCAATCACCACTACAACCAAAACTAATCATCCCGCAGGCCATAACTTGCGAACTTCAAATAAAGCATATTGTCTGGCCCAATTTTCTCTAGTATGTAAAAAATAGGTTCATAGAACAAAAAGAATAGACATTTTACATGTAACCTACATATGGATACCAGGTAGTACAATTCATTCTTATTTTGTGGAGGATTCTCCATTGAAAGATACTGATAAAGACATCAGTTTAATGTTCATTTATAAAATATTTGTTACCTTCTTCAGAAAAAAAAAAGGAATCAGTTTAACGTCTAACACAGAGAATATCAATATGTATTACATAATTACATTTAGCAAAATAAATTGCTTAGTTTAGCTTCCCAAAATGCTATAATGCTCTAGAACAGCTGTTAATTCATAGCTCACCAGCATGCCATGGTAACAACTGTGTTATAACATTAACCAAGTTCATTGAAATAGAATAGGGTTTAATATCTTCAGTTTTTTGCCTTTTTACCAAAATCTACTTGCAGATGCTAAGAATAAGGACAGGATCAAGTGAACTAAATAAAGCACCTAGAACATCACCAACAACTTGTAGAAAAAACACTACAATTATATACCAATCCAGTTGACTCTCTCTCTCTTCCTGCAGTCCCAACCATCCAAGAAAATGAGCAACAGCCAGTTCCAACTTCTTAGTTATAGCCCCGAAAACCATTAACAGTTTCCTCTCAACTTTTCTCATCCAAAAAAAGATGAAATGTATAAACCACTGGATCATTTGTTCATAATTAACACTGAGTCATCAATGATCCCATGTGGTGAAATCAAATGCAGCATAGCAGTACCCTTAACAAGTAGAATTCCTGTCTTAGCAACTAAAATCAATGGTGCTTGATATTTAAAAAATAAATTCAGTTTCTTTGGGAAACATAAGTTCTTGAAATACCAAAAATGATCTAAACTTAGATTTCTGGCAAACTAAATCAAATGCCGCATAGCAGTACCCTTAACAAGTAGAATTCCTGTTTTAGCAACTAAAATCAATGGTGCTTGATATTTTAAAAATAAATTCAGTTTCTTTGGGAAACATAAGTTCTCAAAATACCAAAAATGATCTAAACGTATATTTCTAGCAAACTAATTCTTTGCAAAATCAACCCATCTCTTCCACTCTGACTCTTTAACTTTCAACCAATTATATTAAAAATCTAGAAAGAACAAAAGTTAGTTCATCTGAAAAGTATACAATTGTCGCTTAATCCAATAAAATTCGTGTACTTTTCTGGTTTAATCCACATTTTAAATGATAAATGTGTCTTCATAATGATCCAAGGTCTGAGTGATAGCTTCATAATTGTTGGGTGCATTGAAGGGAACTTTTTGATGTATAAACCATTTAATCCAAATATAAATATTTCTTAAAAAAAAAAATCAGAAATTAAAAATGTAGAATTGTTCATATCCTAAATAGAGCCACAGCAGGGAGAACTCAAGGATGGAAGTTCACAAAACTTCCCTCTTGCAACAATTAGTTCCTCCACATTTTAGTCAAAATTTTAGATAGTTCTAAATTCGTTGTCCTTTCCGGATTATTTAGCATAGTAGATCAACACCAGCGCCAAAAAATCAAAATGGCAAAAGTTTGAACTGAGCAACAAATCTGGATGTTATGAATCAAATTATCCTTCTTTTTCTTTTCCTTTTTTTTTTTGTGTGTGGAGAGGGGGGGGGGGGAATGGGATTAAGTCCCGAACTAAAAGTTATAACCTTTGCTATGCCTTCTTTCCCCATGAGAAGTCCACAGAACATTTTTAGCTCCATCCCCTTAAGAAAATACAAAACAAAAGGTACCTGTTAATAGTGAAGTCTCTGTGCATGGAATTGTTCCAGAGAATGAAATCTTTCTCAGGACATCCCTTAGGCATTTTAGGAACTAAGGGTGCCTCTTCCTTTTCAGCATGTTTTGCCACAGTATCAAAACTTGATACCTGCAGTAATTGGAATATGAAGTACTTCAGTAGCTGTGATTGTAACAAGGGTTCCAGGTCTCTAATTTATCTTCTACTTTTTTGAGATTGATCTCTAATTGTCTCTTCACTTAAACAAAAGGAGATTTTCCTGTGGTCTGGATACCAAATCAGAATGTTCTTCCTTCTTCTGTGGTGATCAAAATGGTAAAATTTTAAAAAAAAAAAATCAATGTGACTTGCAACTCGAGCACTTCTCACTTCACCAAACATTAGTTGAATTTTTTTTGAAATTCTTATTTAAGTTAAAATATATATTTGTTGGTACAGCATAATGTGTACAATGGGAAATTGTTTGTGCCCATACCCAACCATAGATGTATAGAAAGGTAGCCCAATTAGTATCCCAAAGGAGTTGTGCCAACCTCAACTATAGAACCTTTGACATGCACTCTACATATTGGAAATATTCGTCCAACTATTTCACAACGACGAAATTGCTTTTTTATCTGCAAAAGATATGATAGCATAAATGTTAGAGCCGAACTATGAGTTACTGAAACCTAATGTAGTTGTCTCATAACTAGGTGATGATTTCACATTCATCAAGAACCTGTCGAAGTGTTGCATTTGTGATTATATCAAAATCTTTTGGTATTCTATTGAGAATTAGATCTCTGACACATCCACCAACCAGGTACGCTTCAAACCCTGTATATTGAGGTTTCGGTCAAAGGATAATCGATTAAAAAGAAAGGCATATATATGATCTTAAAAAAAAAACAGGAGACTTGCAAATGGAGTGGTATGGGATAAGGGTGGAAAACTTAGGGTTTTTATATCCAAGCAAATTATTAGGTTACGTTAAAGTGTGTTGAGATTCACAACATGCCTGGACACAAGGAACTTGAGTCGAAGAATATTCAACTAATTGGTTGACATCTCTCTACCACTAGTACTTCATTATATTACATGCATCAGGGGTAATAGAAAAGATCCCAGATTATGTGTTTTCAATGCTCATGCACAACAGATGTAAAATAAATTGTAGGATATTCTCAAATATTCTACTTTTTCAGAAGCGTCTAGAATATTCCTACTTCATTGTTAGTACTTACCCTTATTGTGCAAACATGGCCTAAGTTGGCTTCTCTCCGGTTTAACACACTTGATTTTATTGATTCAACTCTGAGTACCGCAACAAAAATCCCGTTTACCAATCAAATGCACTTGATCTTTGAAGAGGCAGTCACCTTTTTGAAGTGGGGGTGGGGGGATGGAGTGGGGAGTGGAGGAAAAGAATTGGTTTTGCCTCGCTCATGACAGGTACAATTCAAAACAAAAAACAGTTTCAACATTTGAAAGTAAATTGATAAGTTTGAGGTCCCATAGTTATGTAACACATACTCGGGTAGCCAGACCAGAATGATCGAACACAACAAAAAATTATCACCTTCACCGTGCAGAATCTTCAGAACAACCCGGGGAGATGGTGGTATCATTGATCTACTAATCCCAAAGTTCCTAGAGTCCAGCTTCCTCCATTTTGAGAAGTCAATTTGACCTGAATCATAACCATCACATATCATAATTCAACTCCTTACTCCACAAATAACATTTTCATTCAATCACAAGTTTGCAGCACTGCCTCTCCTACCCAATGTTTGCAGATCATCTATCATAGCCAATGAAAACAGACTAGCCGAAAACAAAGTCAGTCTTTATTCTTTCTCTTTGGTCAATAATTTTCTCAATTTTGTGCCGATGGTCTATCAAAAACAACCTCTCTACCTTGCAAAAAAGGAGAAATGTAGATGTCCCAGTAAGGAGGTGTGGGAGGTTGGCAATGGTGGGCGTTAGCAGAGGTCGAGCCTGGCCAAGTGTTAGATAAAGTTCAATCACTATAAGTTAGGATAGTGATCTCTACTAGTCAGGATAGATAAGTTCTGTTAGCTACATTTTAGGAAATACGGTGAAGTGTTGTTAGCTATATTATCTCCCCGATTCTTTTATAGTTTGTTGTAAACAACTGCGTATATATTCAGCAATTCTACTCAATAAAATACATTGAATTCCCTCAACATCTGATTGTGTAACATGGTACCAGAGCCTACTATGGAATCATAACTTCTCAACTTTCAGATTCCACCTCACAACAACCACCTTAACCACTCCAAGTCTTTTTGCTACTATACTCCATGCTCAACTTTCTTTTTTCATAAAACTCAAACCAACAAACTACCTGACTTGGGAAACTCAACTTGTTCCTATCATCAAATGTTACAATCTATTCAATCATATCAATGGTACATCAGCACCTCCTTCCACCATCATCAATACCAAAATAAATCACTCATAAGCAAATTCTAACTATCTAAAGTGGTTGCAAGAAGACCAACTCCAACAAGTTGGAACTTATCATCTTTAATAGAGGAATTTTTTCCTTATGTGACTGGTTTAGATACTGCCTTTGAAGCTTAGACCGCTCTCTCGAACGAATTTGGCATCAGCAACAACGCTAAAAGAGTCCAATTACACATCACCTTGCAAAACATGACTCTTGGTGACAAACACTGGCTTAATTTTTTCTCGAAGCTAAAGCTATCGTTGACGAGCTTGCTGCGGCTGGCACACCTCTGTCTCCTGATGAATTCAATGCCATACAACAACAATTGTTGTCTGTTAATAAATTTGCTAAAGACAATCAATGTTCTTTTAATTAGACTCTGATGGGTTTACTGTGAAGCATCAGACAGATAAAAAGGTGTTGTTGCAGGGAATAGCTGAGGACGGAGTTACAGGCTTCCTATTGCTGCATTAGAGGACAATACAGGATAGAGCAAAGCTTTTAAATCAGCTCGGACTGTTGCACCCGATTGGCATGCTCGGCTTGGTCATCCTCAACAATCAACAATCATCTTTCTTGTTAATAAGTTCTATTTGCCTAGTATTCAATATAATCAGTTGGCCATATGAAGCTTGTTGTTTAAGCAAACATAGTCAGATTTCTTTATCAATCATTGGCTCTATTGCTAGTAAGCCATTGGAATTGATTCATGGAGATGTATGGGGACCAGCACCTAACTTATCTTTTTATGGAGAAAGTATTGTGTTCTATTTGTGGATTTATTGTTGGTTATTTCCAATTAAACAAAAAAATAAGGTTTTTCTACTTTTGTCGAATTCCACAAACTGATTGAAAACCAGTTTCAAACCAAAATCATTAATTTGCAATTAGATTGGGGAGGTAATTTTTGTACTGTCAATACTTATCTGAAGGAAAATGGTATTAAACATCGCATTCTTTGTCCTCCTACACATCAGCAAAATGGTCAAGTTGAAAGGAAAATCAGACACTTAATGGATACATGCCTCACCCTGCTCGCTCATTGTGCAGTTCCATCCAGATTTTGAAACTTCGTTATGCACGCCACTACATACTTAATTAACAGGCTCCCTATTCAAGTGCTTCACCATGTATCAACATTTGAAAAAATTCATGGCACTTCACCAGATTATGAATTTCTCCGTGTCTTTGGCTGCACGGTCTATCCTTTGTTACGACCCTACAATCAACACAAGTTCTCCTACAGAACTGCAGCTAGTGTTTTTCTCGAGTATGCTAAGGACCATCACGGGTATGTCTGCTTCAAAATTTATCTTAGTAGACATGTTCATATTGATGAAACTCGTTTCCGTATTAGGAGAAAAAGTTGTCTGATTCCTCTATCCTAGGCACTCTTCTAAAGCAATTCAATTCCACTACTTGGCTCACATTAATTGCGTCAATACCGCAACCTGACACAATTGTACCATCATCTTCGACACTTTCACATAATTTTGTAGATTCTTCTAACGACAATAATTCTAGTTTAAGCTTCTCATCTTCTAGTGCTTCTCAAGATAATATTAATTCTCCTTCGGAGCAGCAACTGAATGTCCTTCCAACTCCTACTGAGCCATCACAACCACCTGGATGCACTCATCCAGTGGTTCTAAGGAAAAATCCAAAGAAGAAGAAAACACTGGCTTTCATGTCTGTTTTGGATGGTAAGGTTATTCCTCAGTTACTCTTTCAGAACCAACATGCTATAGAAAGCACTCAAAGTTCCATTATGCAGAAAGGCTATGAGCTCTCAAATAATTGCTTTGATACAACATCAAACATAGGGACTTGTTCCTAAACCATCACATTCTAATATTGTGAGTTGCAAATGGGTTTTCTGACTCAAACACCATCTTGAGGGCAGCATCGACCGGTGCAAGGCTCACTTGGTAGACAATGGCTATAATCAAGTTGAGGGAATAGATTATGATGCCACTTTCTATAACATCTCGCAATTTGAAATAGCTAGGAAGAAGCTAATAATTGGAAATAGTCATTTTTTGGAAAGAATGAAAATCTGGAAATTTGTTTAAGTTAAGAAAAGTTGAGTTTTGGTCAACGTCAAACGGCCATAACTCCTAGCTCAGGATGAGTTAGGTGTACTTCCAGATATGGTTGGAAAGCTCTTAGAATGATCTTTCCAACGCCGCCGAGTTTGCGCGATTCCGAGTTCGTATGAGTAAGTTATGCCCTTTGGAAGTTGGTCTGTTCAAATAAGGAAATGTCCAATCCGGATTTTTGAAGGGTATTTCAGTCTTTCCCTTATCCAATTAATTAAATTCGTTTTAGTGAATGAATTAAGGGTCTAAACTGAACTTGGTCAGTTTTACGCTCTAGGAAAAGAGTTAGGGTTTTAGAGAAGAGGAAAGAAGAGGAGAAAAGAGAAGGAGAAGCAAGGAAATCGTCAAGTTCGTCAAGTTTAGCTTGTGGATTTCGTCGGGGGTGATCCCTACAAGGTATGTGAGATCACATAGCGTTGGGTTAGTTCACCCACGCGCCAACCATGATTTAATTCAGCGAATTTAAGTCTTTGAAAGTTTAGAAATTGAGTTCTTGATGAACATTGTTGAAGGTTTCGTTTGAATTCTTGTGGGTTGTGTTGTTGAAGTTTCTTGCGATTTGAGTCATGTTTCCGGGTGTAAATTCGGTTTGAATGTATCATATATTGAGGGTATAAATGATTCTAAGCGTTTGGGGAAAGAACCATTGAAGTTTAGAGGGTTTAGAGTTGAAAAACGAAGGAGAAAAGTCATCAAACACCTGGGGAAGGGGGTGGGGCGTCGCACGAGCCAGCGCGCCCCAAAGCAGCCTCTGAATGTGGGGCTCTGGGGCGGCGCGCCAGCCAAAGCTCCCCAACTTGCCCTCTGAATTTTGAGGGTTGGCGCCCCGCGCCTCTTAGAGCGCCAGGGATGCCAGTTCTCCCCATTCCTCCCCTATCTTTTCGTACTAGTTCCTTAGTGATGTAACTATGTTTTCTAGTTGATTCCAACACTCTAAGGTACGTCTAAACATCATGAAATCACCCATAAATATGAGATCATGAACCTTGAATCCATACTTCAATTCAAGGAAAGTTAAGAGTCAAGTCTAGAAGTTAGAAGCAAGTCAAGAAAAGTTTATAAAGTTTTCAAAAGTCTTTCACAAACGTTTTAACTTTGTTTTAAGACTGAAAGTTCAAGTTAAGCAAAGAGTAAAGTTTGAAGTGCATTTTCTTCAAAAGAGCATATCGGGACTATGTATTCCCAAAGAGTAAATGTTTTCACATTTAAACAAGAAAGGAAATTGAGATTTCCAAAAGAGCCTTTGACCTAGTTTTCAGTAAAAAGTAAGAGTAAAGTTCATTCTTCAAAGATTATACGGGAACTAAGTATTCCCAAGAGTTAAAATGTTTTCACATTTGAGCAAGAAAGGAAACTGAGATTTCCAAGAGAGCTTTTAAGCTAAGTTTTTGAGTAATTATCTCAAACTGAAGAAAGAGTTTTGTTTTTACAAACATATGAGCTAAAGTATATTTTGGGAGTAGTATTGAGCACCGATATGGGGACGAGCTTGAGTTCAGATAACTCACGTCTCCATAAACCATGTAGCCATCATGGGTAGAAAAGGGTCATACTTATTAGATGAATCCTTTAATGCTTTTTAGCATAGACTAGTGGATCCACTTAGTGAGTTAGGTCATATACCCCGGCAAGGTATAGGATGGTCCTTGGCAGCGTGAGGTAAAGTGTTGTATCGTCACTATAGCTCTTAAGTAATGGTTGTAGGTTAGAGAAACTCCCACAGCAGTATTTTGTATTTTTATATACATCAGTTTATTTGTATTTTTACATACATCTCAGAGTTATATGTATCTTTGCATACACACAGAGTTGACATCATGTTTTAAACAGTTTTTCTTTATATTGCACTTGTTTTTAAACTGCTTTATATTGAAATGAGTTCAGTTATGTTGAGTTGAGTTGAGCCAGGTAAGTTCTTCAGTTCCTTTCAGATTATTTTCAATCCTATGTTGTGTTTAGCATTCCAACTCACATACTCGTACATTCAATGTACTGATGCCAGTTGGCCTGCATCGTCTTATGATGCAGACGCAGGTAACTAGGATCAGCATCCAGCGCATCGTTGATCCAGTGAGCAGTTCAGAGTTTGTTGGTGAGTCTCTTTGTATTCCGAAGGATCCCTTTTATTGCTTTCAGTTTATTATCAGTTCTTTAGGATGTGGTGGGATTTGTCCCAACATCCATCTCAGTTGTTTTAGAGGTTTCATAGATAGTAAATGTTAGTTCATTAGTCATCATTTTGTTATTGGCTTATGTTCAGATTTGAGTTGCCATTTTGGCTAAGTTAAATGTTTATTTTTAAAACATTATGAGTTCAGTTTGAGACAAGTTGAGTTATCTTGTATTTGGATTCTCTTTCTTATGTCTAAGTCTTCCGCTGAGTAAGTAAGTCAGGCCAAGGGTTTGCTTGGGGCCAACAATGTTTCTCGAGTGCCAATCTCGCCCAGGGTGTAGGCTCGGGGCGTGACACTTTCAGTCTGGTTATCAAGACTATAACAGTCTGAGTTGTTCTTTCTTTGGCAATCTCCAATACATGGACTCTTCAGCAATTGGACATTTCCAATGCATTTCTCAATGAAAACTAAGGAGTGGATGTGCACATTTCTCAACCTTCAGGCTTTATTGATCAACGATGTCCTAATTATGTGTGTAAATAGAGGAAATCAATCTATGGCCTTAAACAAGCTTAGGGATGGCAATGGGGCAGGGCGGGCGCAAAGCGGAGCGGGTAATAGTGTTTGTGAGGCAGTGCGGGTTAGTACTTTTGCGGGGCGGGGGGAGTACAAAATATTTTAAAAGAAAAATATTTGGGGTGGGGCGGGTATGGGTTAGGGTTTCCTTTTCTTTTGAACTTAAACTAAATTGGGCTTACAGCAATACGACGAAGCGCAATGGAGTGAAGCAAAGAAAAAACTCTGCCTCTCGGAAACTAAATAATAACTCAAAATGTCCTGAATAATTCTTTTCTTAAATAGTCGTAGTGAAGCCTCTCATTTTTGTTTTTATTTTTTTTATTATGTTTCTTAATTTCATTGTTAATATAATAATAACTCGTGATGGTCCATATATGATTGATTTTTAACCCACAAACTATTGATGCCATTTACTAATTTAAAGAGAACAAGAAAAAACTGTTGTTTTAAGTTATAAAGACGGTTGCTTTAGGTTTGCTGTTTGGAATCCTTATTGTTGTAACAGGGCATGGAGAGTTTTTTTGATTTTGTTGAATGTGATTAGTAGTGCCCTAGAGAGTCTTTTGATTTTGTTGAATGTGATTAGTAGTCTAACATCCAAGAATGTGATTAGCAATCTCTTGTAATTGGAATCTCAATTCTTGAAGTTAAAAAATTCTTGGATTTCATATGGGGAGTTGGATGGAAATATATGTTCAGAATCAGTTTTGGTGTTTCAACTTTCTGTGCATATAGTTTGTGTAGAATTTTAATTTTTTTTACAAGTATAGCAATGTGAGTTAAAAGTTGTTAGTGTTTTTAATGATTTTTAGCCAATTTGGTGAATGAATATAACTTGAGTTAAAAGATGTTAGTGTTTTTAATGTCTGCAGGTTCTCCATCCTTGAAGTGAAAGATACCACCTTTGAAATCCGCATCATAGCTATTTAAATAACACACTGCCTTCAACAAAAGAATTAAGCATTGTCAGGCGGGGTGGGTTCATGTGGAGCGGGGCGGGGCTGGGCGGGGCGGGGCAACAAAAAATAATCATGCTATGCGGGGCGGAGCAGGGCGGGGTAAAGACTTTGCGGGTTTATGCGGGTTTAACCCACACCCGCCCCGCCCCTCCCATTTGCCATCCCTAAACAAGCCCCACGCGTTTAGTATCACAGGCTCGGTTCTTATATTCTAACCATTGATTTTGCAGGCTCTATTACTCACTCCTCGCTCTTTATCAAACACCAAAACAGTGATATTCTTTATATCCGCATCTATGCCGGTGATATTATCATCACAAAGGAGTAACTCAAATCCAGTTCACACATGCATAACTCAATTGTCCAATGAATTCAAGTTGTGAGATCTCAGAAAAATTCACTACTTCCTGGGAATCAAAGTTAGATATCTCAACAATTGTATTATTCTTTCTCAGCAAAAAAACCTTCAGGATCTTCTCATCACTACTCACATGGAAAATGCCACACCTGTCAAGTTTCCTATGGCTAGCACATATAACCTGCAACTTCAAGAAGGTGAACCGCTGGTTGATCTCAGGATTTATATGAAAATAGTGGGAGCACTACAATACGCTCGTCTAACTCGTCCAGACTTGGCTTCTGCTGTGAACAAATTACGAAAAAATTTATCCGCACCAACAACCACTCACTGGACAGCCTGCAAAAGTGTTCTTCGATGTGTCAAAGCCACCTTGCACCAATGACTGTTTATTACTTCTCACCCAGCTCCCAACTTCAAGCTTTTTGTGATGTTGATTAGGAAGGCAACGCAAATGATAGGAGATCCACAGGAGGTTTTGTTGTGTATATGGGATGAAATTTAATATCATGGTCGAGGTTTTTTCCTCCCGTTCCCCCAAACCCACAACATTCTCCTTATAGGATACCTAGAAAAATGTACCCAGAACAGCCTTGAAGCTAAGAAGCAACCAACAGTTGCTCAATCATTAATCAAGGCTGAGTATCGATCGGTCACAAATACCGCAGCAAAAGTAATTTGGCTTCATTCTCTTCTTCAAGAGCTTAAACAGACAATCCATAATTCCACAGTCATCTGTTGTGAGAGCTTCATATCTACCAGTTAATCCATGTTTTAAGGCACGAACGAAGCATGCGAAGTTGATTTTCACTTTGTCAGAGAACAAGTCAAGGTTGGTCATATATCAGTGCAGTTTATATCCTCTATCAATCAATTAGCAAATATACTTACTAACCCTTTGCCCGCCAGCCGGTTTCAACTCATCAAAGGCAAGCTAAGAATCTTGGAAACACATTCTTAGCTTGAGGGGGGATATTAGAGATAAAGTTCAATCACTATAAGTTAGGATAGTGATCTCAACTAGTCAGGATAGGTAAGTTTTGTGAGATACTTTTTAGGATAATATGACTAAGTGGTGTTAGCTATATTATCTCCCTATTCTTCTGTAGTTTGTTGTAAACAGCATCCTATATATTCAGCAATTCTACTCAATAGAAAACACATTGAATTCTCTCAATATCTGATTGTGTAACACCAAGGAAGTATTGCGGAAGGTGATTAGCTAGGATATGGCGCATCTTGAGCTTACCGAGAACATGAGCTTAGATAGGTAGGTTTGGAGGGCGCGGATTAGAAGAGAAGGTTAGTTGGTAGTTGAGCATTCTCTTGCTTTCCTGCGAGATAGGTTTGGTGGTCGTACATGTACCTACTTTCTTACTAGTAGTATTAGCAATATTCTCTTAGTTTCACGTTCTTCGATTTTAGTTATCACATGTGTTTGTTGGTGCTTTGATTTCACATTATTTGGTTGTTGTTATCGTTCTTTCATCCATATGTTATGTATTGTTTTCTATTTCATATTATTTCGTCGTTGTTACTGCTTTCATTTCTATATTCCTCTTTCTCATACTGCTTTGAAATGCTTTATTTTAAGACGTGCATATATCATAAACAACATCTCTATCTCTACAAGGTAGGAGTAACGTCTATGTTCACTCTACCCTCCCGTGATCCCACTTGTTGTTGCAATCTTTTACCCTAACTATCAACCTACTACAACCGTCCAGCATCATTTATATCCAAGCTTACACGCTTTACCAATCAAATAGGCAAAGTTACAACAGAACAACATAACTTCTAAAAAGCAAAACCGCACAAAAAGCAGAAAGCATCAAAACGTATTAAGCTTATATTTACCTGCTTCTACCACTGATTCAATACCAGAATCAGCAGAAACCTGAGACTCTCGTTCACATTCAGCAAAAGTGTGTTTAAATTTCTGAAACAACATAATTCAGCTAATGTTTACAAACTGTTCGACAATATGCCTGAAAGAAGAAAAAAAAAAAACATCATGTAATAGAACGAGTTTACCCAGCACGGCACCTGCAAGTATACAAGGGCTTTGAGTTTGAGGCGCGAGAGTAAGACATTTTCTCTTGTCAAGTTTGATATCGCAGCCATGAAACGTGAGAACTCTACTCTTCTGTACAACAGCAACTGGAGAAGACAGGGGGGCATTTGAGAAGTGAGACCAAAAACAATAGAAAAGTATAAATGATTAAATTTTTCTTTTAATAGGTTTTTTAAATATTTTAAGTTATTAATTATTTTTATTTACGGTACTTATATAGTTTTTAAATATATATAAAAAAACATATTGCTTCATTGTCTGAATTTACATTCAAAATTTAGAAATTTATATCATAAAAAATTAACTGTGTCATATAAATTGAGACCAGAAGAGTTATTTTATACTTTTGCAGTGTTTCGATCAGCTTCCATATACTAAAGTTAAGATAGATGGAACAAAAAATAGAAAAGTTGAAAATGAAAACCTCTCAATTCAAATATTTATAAACACTCTCTTAAATCGTTGATCACTGCTCATAAAATGAAATTCTACATTTCTTATTATTTTTACAAATATCTTATTATAATATACATATATACGAATCTGATACGTCCATGATAACTCAATTTTATAAAGCAAAAAACACAATTAGATTATCCTTTATCTCACCCCACATTTAACAATTCACTTCATTTTTAGATTGACACTCTTAAAAGTGGTAAAAGTGATGTAGGGAAGATGAATTTATAATTAGGTTAAAATATTTTTTGAGGGTTTTATATAATTAATAGATACTAATTTTGGACGTTTCAATAAACAATTTCATGTGATTGAACGATATGCATTTACTTTTTAAAACGTGTTAGTAGATAAAAACATGATATTTATTTTATCTCGTAAGAGTCAACAAAAATGATAAAATCCTATATATATATATATATATATGTGATTCAAGAATCAAGTTTACAATACATGTACATCTTTTCTAATAACTAAAAAAATCTATCTTATAAGTAATAAATATTTGATGTTATCCATGAGCTAATGTTTCACAAGTCTTAATTAAAAACAGGAAAATTATTTTTTACGTGTGTTTTTTAAAAATTATATAAATTTTCTTCACAGTTTTGACAAATATCTCATCATTATAATAAATAAATACACGAACTTGATATGTCTGTAATGACGCAAGATTCTATCGCAACGAAAAAATAATTAGGTTGTCATTATTTTGTATTATCTTCAATAGATCTCTTCATTTTAATAAAAATATTAACTCATAATTTAGCTTTTAGGAAACGATTAAAATGTTATGGAAAAGACAAACATATGATTAAGTTATGATGAGCAATATTTTTGTACTTTTCATTAACTTTTACATGTGATTGAACGATATACATTTGCTTTCATAAAATACGCCATACGTCAACAGATAAGATGAAATTTATTATATCTCGTAAAAATTAGCGGGCTGATAAAAGTCTCACATGTATGATTGCAATACGTGACAAGTTTACTATCTGTTTGATCATGAATAATTCTCATATTTTTTTCAGAATTTTATGTCATACCATTTTTCAAACTAAAAATTGTTTTCACACTAAAATTCACAATTTTTTTTTATTTGTATTCATATCAAAACACAACTTCAATTTTCAAATATCATTTTTAACTCGTAATAGATTGATTTTTTTTTCAAATTTCACAATTACATATTAAGTCCAAACGCTCACTAAAATACATAACAAATTTCAGCGTTTTCCCGAATGAAGCCCTACACAACGTGAAGCCAAAATAGTCAGAGATAATGTACACAAGATGTGAAAATAAATAAACAACTAAATACTCCAGTTTTCCACTTTTAATTATCATGTTGCGCTTTTCGAAAGTCAATTTGACTAATTTTTAAAGTTAAATTAGATTACATTAATTTAATATTTTAAACAAAAAATTTATATATTCAAAAACTATACAAAAAATAGGGAAAATATATAAAACCCCCCCTGAACTTGGCAGCATAACTTACTTTAGTACTTTAACTTTACAGGTAATTATTTACTCCCCTAATCTTATTGCAAGTGAATTTAAAAGCACCTTACATATACAATACCAGTTTCATACTCATGGGTGAAGTGCACGCGCGCCACCTAAGTGACACCTCGATGCCACATCAATGACATGTCAGATAATTGAAAAAATATATTTTTTCTTTATTTTTACTTTCCCAGATCTTTAAAAAAAAATTATTTTCACTCTTCACCACACCCTCTTCATTATTTCATTTGGATCAGTTTCTTAACATCCAAAATTTCACATTGATTGATTCATTTTATTTTTCATTGCTTTGTAATTATTCACTATTACTTCCATCAATACTTATATCAATCACCGTATTTTTTTTTCCCAACTAGGTGAAACTATCAACTTATATCAACAATGACGATTTTAAATTTATGCAAAATCGAACTGCTATTTTTTTAGATTTGCTGTTACTTTTTTTGTTTCACTTCTTAATGCATATTCAGGTATAGAATAAGTAAGTTTAAAGTTAGATGAATAATTATTTTTTAAGAAAAATCGAATCTCAAAAGTAAAGAATAAAGAAAATTATGTGGGTCTTGAATGTGATTTTCTATTTTTGTTTAGCGAAAAAATGTATAGAATGTAGAGTTTGATGAAGGAGAAGAGGATGGGTTGGGGTTGGGGTAGGATGCGGTGGGAGTTTGAGGAAGAAGAGACAAGTAGGGGAGGTGGGGTTTTGAGAAAGGGGTGGAGGGGTTTGAAGAAGAAGAAGAATGAGGTAGGTGGGGTTTTTTTTTTTTCTTCATTATATATATATAATGCTAGTGGGACCATTATTTTTCTAAAAAAAAAAAGATTTACGCGCCTTCAACTTTTTTGTTTTTCTTTTTTTGCCACGTCATCTGTTAAGGTGGTATTAAATTCACATAAAATGAAATTAGGGGGTAAATAAACACCCGTGTAGTTTAAGTGCTAAAATAAGTTATGCTGCCAAGTTCAGGGAGGTTTTTATGTATTCTCCAAAAAGTACAATACATTCTAATTTTTTGCATATCAATAAAAAAATATAATATTAGTCAAAATTATTATCGTTTGAATCTAAAAAAAAAAATAATTAAAAATGGACGGAAATAGGATTATATGATATCATCCATGAGTCAATTTTCCTCCAAAGTCTAAACCAAAAATAGGAAAAATAATTATTGCTTTTGTTTTTGTTATTTATTACCATCAATAAATTAAAGTTCTCTTGAAAAAAATTCCACAGATAGGGCTTGTACTTTGTTTGCATTTTGCTTTCTTCAATTCAACTGAATTTTCACCTCCCAAATTGCAATAAGGGAGGAGTATGAGTATGGGAGGCGGAGATGCTAGTGTTCCGGCGGGAGACGGCGGCGATTCAAACAAGGTGAGTAACACCGGCGCCGGTGCCGGCGGAGGTGTTACAATCAACATCCGATGTTCTAGCGGCTCGAAATTCTCTGTGCAGGTCAGCCTCGATTCTACCGTCGGATCGTTCAAGTCTATTCTTGCACAACAAGCCAACATTCCTGCTGAACAACAGAGATTGATCTATAAAGGCCGGATCTTAAAGGACGAGCAAACACTAGAAAGCTACGGTATGTTAATTATAGGCTTTTTTATTTTTTTTATTTTATGGCAGAGCTGATAAATTGCTGGTGCGTGATTAATATATTTGGAGATTTTATTTGAGTTTAATTGTTTTCAGTTATAATTCAGAGTTGAAATTATGATGACAGAATTAGTACAGCTCAATAGAAAGAAGTAATTAAAATGGAAGTGCAGAGAATAGAACTAATTAGAAGCAAACTCAATCTAAGAACATTACCATTAATTTGATCCACAAAGATACCTCGTACTTGCGTGTAAGAAGATAGCTCAGCTATGATGATGAAGAGCACATGAATAGAGAAGAGGATATGAATTGAGATAGATAGATAGATACAGAGACGAAATTTCCAAAATGTTTCCCGCCTCTGCACAGTAATTTCACTGTGTTTATATGAGGGGTGTGGTCTAATCCCTTGACGATGGTTCCCATGTGACCCTATTTAGCTTGATCTGCTCATCTGGATCATGATAATACTTCCAACTTGAAATTGGCCTTTTCCTAAAAGTCACGTATATTTTACATGTAAATTTTCATTCTCATTTATATGATCATGTATGGATCCATTAGTTCCCAACGGTAGAAACTAGGATATTGGAACCTAGAGGACAAGATGATGCAATAATCAACCCTTCTTCCATGTTCCCCTTTTGCATACTTGTTCATACCCAAGGACTTTTGGGACCTCATGGTTAAGCTCTAGAAGATGTAATTGACGCTTACTAGATCAATTGCGTTGTGTTTTTCTGCAGTTAAATTGTCCTTTATAATTCAATTCCATAGTGTGAATTTGCTATCGCTAAGTGTCCAACAGTTGGATGGGCATGCATGTTAGCCACATTATGTAACACTGCATCAGATGCATTTCCGATTGAGATAACTGGAGAATTAAGGTTGTGAAGCCACATAGAAAGTGATGAGCGAAGAAACCCACACGAAAGACATCATTGTCTACGCACATAGGAAATACGCTAGTCTCATCAGTAAATTACCCGTTCTGCTAATTGTCCTAAAATAGTCCTGTTGTACCAATATTGCCAGCTTTCTTCGTTGAATTTTTTAGTGTGTGTACCATGTACTGTTTTGTGATATAATACAAAGTTACCTATTTAAAAATAAAAATAAAAATTAGTGTGTAATTCATATACCATTTTTTGCAAGTTCTCACATGAAAAATCTATGACAACAGAAATAAACCCGTCACTTTGAGAGTCTGCATATAAGGACAAACTTTCTAATCGAAGGATTCTGGCTAAAACTTGGTACAAATTTTGACCGCCAACATAAACAACCATAGGTGTGATTCAAGGAAGCGGGTGCTCATTCTTTATACCTTCCGCATCATATACCTTTATGTTTGGTTCTCTCCCAGATTGTCATATTGTGCAGCTCCAATATAGTTCTCATTTCCGTAATCTGGAGTTTGCATTTATGATACCTAAGACATACCCAAGGCTTCCTTTCATCTTCATCTGGAGGTCCCTTCAGAGAGCCTGAATGAG